TTTGTTTTTTTACTTCAAAATAAGATATGTGCAGTGTGCATAGGAATTTGTTCATAGTTTTTTTTTAAACTATAGTCCGGCCCTCCAACGGTCTGAGGGACAGTGAACTGGCCCCCTGTTTAAAATGTTTGAGGACCCCTGCATACCACTTGCCTCTCCTAACTGCCATAGGTTAGGATCATCTCAGTGTGTTAACTGCAGTGTATTCTTAAGGAGAGTTAGTCTAAAAGTGGTAGGTAGTGTTCTTAAGACCTATATTTATATCCTCACAGACTCCCACATAGACATACATACTGATGCATGTCACACAAATTACAGTGTCTGATTATGGAAACAACTCTAGAGCCCAAAGACCTGGATACCTGTCTCAGCAAGTCATTTCACCCTCTGAATCTTGGAAAGAGGATGACAGTAAAGCCTTCCCTGGTGCCGTCAGGCTGTAGTGAAACAACATTGTATGTTTACCCTTTGTATTGTCTGTGACCCTGTAGAGTGTAAGGCAAAGAAGACCTAAGCTGAGAGGCTGGGGAGGTTGAGCCACCTCTCACTGGCAGAACTCTTCTTTTTATAGAGCCAAGGTCTCCGGCGTCGTGCCTCTGTGGTTCCAGAAGACAGCAGCGTCGCAGCACCTGAGCTTCAAGAAGAGGTAAGGTGAACAGATACACAGAGACCAAGATGGGTGGTAATATTGGTCACTGGGAGTGCACAGAAGTTTGACTACAGATTAGAATCTTCACCATGGCTGCTAGGGGAACCCAGCAGTGAACAGTATCCTTAGAGCAAAGTCAAGCAGGTGGGAACAGGGGAACCAAGCGTAAACTGGGACATTGTGGGTTTGGGGTGTCCATTCCCCAACACTTGGCCTTGAACTCTCACCATAGCCCTATCTCCCAAGTACTTATTTATTTCTGAACTTATTTCAAAAAGAAAAAGAAGTTACATACAAAAAGGCAAATACATATACACACACAAAATGTAACTCAAATATATTAATGACAGTGACAAAATGGAGCGATGAATTAGGCAAATAGAAAAATACATTCTATGAAATAAACTTACTAAGGATGGATCACAAAATTGGTTCCAGACTTTCTAAACATCCAAGAAGAGAAAAATCTGATCAGTGCACCCAATTCATGATGCCATTCCTTCAAACAACTCCTGCTACTAAGATGAAAAGGAAATTTCTCCTGTGAATCCTTGTAAAGAGATGATGAAGGATGCAATGACCAGTATCTGCAAAAAGTTTTGACAATAATCCCAACAACCAGCTTCACTTCCCTCAATATTACATGACATGAAATATAGTTTGATAGAAGCAAATTGAGTTTTTACCCTCCTTGAGTGGTTGGTGGGAGGACAGGTGAGCATCTAATGCAATCATGTTTACTTTCCAGGTATCTACAATTCAAAGTGCACAACTCTGAAGAGTAACTGCCAAGACCACCCACATATGTACATCTCCCAGAGAGATTCTTCAGCTAGAGGGTATATAAGCACAGAGACTTAAGGTCTAACATTCATTTCTAGGTTCTCAAAGTGGATGCTGGTTGTCTCTAAAGACCTAGCATTAATGGAGGCTGAGGAGCAGACTTAGGGGAAGGAGGGAGGCAGACAGGCTTAGAAGAAGAGATTGTTAGACTCAGGGAATATTTAATTCAGACTTTAGCATTGTTATACAATAAGACTTTATATATTAAATAAAGTGGGGCTAAAATGACTATAACAAGCAAAAGCATCTATAGATGCATACACACAACCATACATACTAGAGAACGGGAAACAAATCTTGGATTTACCACTCATTTTTTTAAGACTTGAAGCCAAAAGAACATATTTTCAGATTGTTAAATAAAGCTTTATTCTATGTATGGAGTCTTCGCTTGACACAGGGAGGTTGTCCCAGTCCAGCACACTGTTCTCTGCGTTGGCAAGGTTATTGCTTCTACCCTGGGTTCAGAAATCTTTAGTCACATCCATGACCTCCAGTTCACTTGACCTTCTGGCTTTAACTATTTGATGATGCCATGGGCTACAGCAGTGGTTCTCAACCTTGGCTGCACATTAGAATCACCTCGGAATCTTTTTTAAATCCTGATTTCTGGGCCTCATCCTCTGGAAATTCTGTTTCTTTGTTACTAATGTTGTGGCCCCACCCCATAACAAAGAAACACAATTTCCGGAGGATGAGACCCAGAAATCAGGATTTTAAAAAGATTCC